ACACACACACACACACATTTCCTCCACTATTTCTTTTCTATGAAATAAGCCTAGTGAGCTCTTCTCAGTTTCTCTTACTGAGGTGTATTCAAGGTACCTAAGTATTCTAGTTTGTTTTCTGCTACTATGATAAACAACAAGGCAAAAAACAACTTGGTGAAGAAAGGGTTCATTTCATCATGTAAATTATAATCCATCATTGAGGGGAAGCCAAGGCAAGAACTTGGAGTGGAAACAAAAACTGAAGCAGAAAACATGGAGAAACAATTCATCCTAGCTTGCTTCCTCCAGCTTGCCAGCTAAGTTACTTAATGAAGCCCAGTCCCACCTGCGAGGGATGGTTCCACAAACAGTGGACTGGGCCCTTGTATATCAATGAACAACCAAGAAAAGGCCCAACAGACATGCCCACAGGCCAGACTATTGGAGGCAATTTCTCAGGTGCCATTCCCTCTTCCTAGATATGACAAGTTGACAACCAAGCTTGGCCACCACAGAAGGACTCATCACACGTTGCTTCTTGTTAGAGTTATTTCTGTACATCCGTTTTCACGGAGGGCGTCTCGGTAGAGCTTGTTTGCTTCCCTCTGTGATCACAGCAGCACCTACAGTGTAATAAGCCACCCACAGATGCTAGCTGAATCAAAAGTAGTTGTTGAAAACCCTTGTTTCTGTTAACGGTTTTCAAAACTGTCCCTCAGCAAAGCCAGGGGGTAGGGATTCTGTAACTCCTTTACCTCGTAATGCTTAAGTCCCCATGTCCAGACCTGTCCATCATGCTTCTTGCTGAGCTACCTTTGGTGGTCTGAATTAAAATGTCCCCAGTAGTCTATGGTGGTTGAACACTTGCTCCCCAGAGGTGGTGCTATTTAGGGGAGGTTACAGGACATTTAGGAGGTGGAGTGTAGCTGGAAGAAGCATGTCACTGAGGGTGGGTTTTGAAGGACTTCCAGTTCGGTCTCTATGTCACATGTGTGGCTGAAGATGTGATCTCTCAGCTTCCTGCTCTGTCTGCCTGTTGCTGTGGTTCTGGTTATGGTGTTTTATCACAGGGGCACAGCTGACTGTCCTCATGCCCTCTCCTTTCCACCCATGCTTCTTTCTCCAGTATCGAGAGCAGCTTCAAGTCCCTTCCTGGTCTTTTCTCAAAGCCTACACCTTTCTTGGATTGACCTGAGATCGTTGATGAAGAAAATAAGCCTCTGGGACTGGAGAGATGGATCACTGATTAAGAGCACTTTCTACTCTTGTGAAGGACCTGGTTTCTGTTTCCAGCACCTACAGGGTGGCTAACAACCATGTGTAATGTCTGTTCCAGGAGATGTGACGCCCTCTTCTGGCCTCCCTGAGCACTGGATGCATGTGGTGCACTGAGAAACATGGAGGCAAAACACTCACACACATAGAATTTAAAGAAGAGGGTCCAGAAAGGTGGCATGTATTGCCTATGTTCATAAATCTAGCAACAGAACTAAGACAGACCCCAGGTCTCCTAACACTAAGTCCATTGCTTTTGTGACTCACTTTGCTTTAAATCCTGCAGCTTGAACCCTTTGTCCTCAGGCTGCTATTAAGGATTGGTAAAGACCTTCAGTTAACCAGCTTGGTTAACCATCCCTGTCCTAACTACAGCCATTGGCGCTGTAACTCCTGGTGATGGAAACTTAAGAATGGTTACAGTGGTCCCTGCCACTAGCCTATTTTTATGTGGGTTGGAGAATTGGGTTTTTTCCCCCTGCCTCTCTGTTTCAGACCTGCCTGTGTGGGGATATCTAAGACCCGCCCATTTCCCACAGCCCACTTTCTCAGCACTGTGTGGATGGTGGCATTCCCTGACACAGTCTTCCAACACTCCACAGCAACCATGGTGGCAGAACTGCAAGCAGGGAAGAGCTCAGCTCCTGGGCCTGTTGTAATTCCTGTGAGGGGTATCTGAAGTTCCTCAAAACAGTCATGAATGAAACTTTTCAACTCCACTTGGAAGGAAGTCAGAGAACTTCACTTCTGAGACTGAGCCAATGCAGTAATGAAATTCAGTGAGTGCCACAGAGAGGTATGAATGCCTCAGGACAGAACAAAAGCCAGCTACTTCTACAAAACGCATTTACCCTAAGGGGAAGTTGAATGCTTTTCAAACAGTGGCATTGTATTTTTCCATGAAGTGTCAAATGTGCTGTATTCATCGGTAAAGCTACAGATCTAAATTTAAATTTTACTTTAGTTTGGCATAGTTGCTAGATTTTAGGGAAAACGATATTACAATGTGATTATTATTGGAATATCAACTGAGTGATGTTCTGAGAAAGCACTGCAGGCTTTCAAAAAAAAGGATTTACTATTTTTATTCTATGTGTATGAGTGTTTTACCTACATGTATGTATGTATACTAATACATGCCTGGTCTCCAAAGAGCACAGCAGAGGGTGTGGGGTCCCCTAGAACTGGAACTATAGATGGCTGTGAGCCACCAAGGAGGCTCACAATTAGTGAGCACAATTAGTACTCCTAATTGATGAGCCACCCCTCCAGCCCAACATCCTTTTAAAAGATGGTCCTTGAAAGGACTATTCTGGCAGGCAACTGACTTTTCTACAGTTTGTGAGTATAGAATTATAGGTCCCTGATGCCTGAAATGACCTTATAGTAAATCTAATCCAACATATATCTTATAGTTGAAAAGCTATTGTCTGCAATTTGATAATGTAAAGTTTGTCTTATTTTGTAAAAGTTTAGAAGCAGGAATTAAGTGTAAGAACCAGGTACTCAGTTACAATTTGAATCATCGTTGGGACTAAGTGTACGAGAGGCCTGAGAGAAACCAATATTCCATGCCCTATCCACTGATCTTGAAATTATTCCTGTAATACTGTCTGCCTAATAAAAAGTGGAATGCACCTCGATTTCCTTTGGGAACTGAGTGCCTACAGGCTTTAGTACAAACATTAACATAATATCCTTTTTGCCTTTATATACCTAAGAAAATAACTAAAATGGGCTTCAAGAGCAATTTCTTCATTTAAAAAATTGGGATAAGAACTGGGCATGGAGGTGCACGTCTTTGATCCCAGCACTAAGGAGGCAGAGGCAGGTGGATCTCTATAAGGACAGCCTGGTCTTCCAAAAACAGCCAGATCATGTTACACAGAGAAGCCCTGTCTCGAAAAACAAAAACAAACAAAAAATTGAGATATGGCATACTTCCTAAACCAGCCATGTAGTATACACGTGTAATCCCAGTATTTGGACATTGGGGGGATTGACAGTTTGAGGCTGTTCTGGGCTACATAGTTAGCCCGTATCTCAAACAAACAGGACTCTTAGAAGACATCTGTGACAGTCCAATTAGGCAAGGTATGGAAGTGTACTTTGAAATCCAAGTGAAAGAATCAGGTTGGTCTATGTATGTGTATACATTTCTGCAAATATGTACTAAGGACTCAATTCTGTGCCAGATCCCATGATAGAGAGCAGGTGTATAAGGAGTTAAATGGATCCCAGTCCTCCAGCTGTCTATAAGGATGGTGCTTTCCTTACCCAAAACCCAAAGGAAAGTATCCAGGTCAGCCTCCCCGGTTGTACGTCTTTCCTGACTAGCATTCTCTCGGTTTTAGTTAGCTGAGTAAGTAATTGCTTCACTTGGCCTGTATCAGTCACTAGCTTTTTAGTTCCATGGGAACATGTCCTTTTTAGTTCCGAAGCTCTGCGCCTTGAGTGTGACTGGCGCAGAAAACACTGACATATATTTGTTGGGCGGCTGAATGAACACATGAAAAAGCAAATGGATGGTTAAAACACACGACCTAATACGGTGCTGGCCATATTAAGAGACTAGGCTTTCACAGTACCGTGGCCATCTATAGGAGTATTTAATACGAGCCCTTACGGAGCAGCTTTCCAGAGCCTTGTTAAGACAGTCTCACACTGCTGCCCAGGTTAGTGGCTTCAACATCCAGAAATCCACCTGCCTCAGACGTCTGAGGTAGAAAGGATTACAGATATGAAGGATGCAGTAGGACCTTTTTGAAAGGGCGGGGGTTAAAAGCGTATACTGAATACTAGTCTTCCATATTAAAAAACAAAACAAAACCCCGAAATTCTCAAGACATGTTTGCACGCGTACCTGTCCACACTGAGCTTAAACGGCCTTATCTGTGAACCATGTAGGTCGTATCCGTAGAAACACAAGATTGGTTGGGTGACTCAATGGCCCCCGCAAAGTCCAATTAGATCACCTTTGGAGAAAGGCCAGAAGACGGACAGGCTTGTGCAGGGCGGGGAAACCAAAGAGCGGTGCCACGCGCCACGTCTGATTATCGGCTACAGGGCGGCGGGTCACATGCCTTGGGCTGCGGCTCTCCCTGGGCGCCCGGGCGGTCTGCGCATGCGCAGCTTCCGGGCGGCCTGCGCACGCGCAGGGCTAAGACCGCCTCTCGGAGCGTGCTGACAGCTTCCGGTCTGGCGTCCCCGCCCCCCGGGTGGCAGAAGCTTCTGAGGCTCCGCGCTGTCAGCCGCGGGGTAGAGTGGGCCGGGCGTGGCGAGGAAACAAGCCCCGCGAAGCGGGGTCCCTGCAGCCATGGCCTGCTCCATCGTCCAGTTCTGCTCTTTCCAGGACCTGCAGTCCGCGCGCGACTTTCTGTTTCCTCAGCTGCGGGAGGAGAACCCCGGCGCCCTGAAGAGGGACCCGAGTAAGTGTCCCGGCGACGGGGACGCGGCCGATAGCCTCTCCTTAGAGCCCAGTCTCTCTCACCCTCAGCCTTCTTGGTCTCGCGTCCAGTCGCCTGTCAGTCACCGCTCCCCACCCCACCCCCCTTCCCAGTTCCAGCTTCACGTCTTCTCCCTCTGCACACCACCTGCTCCGGGATCCCAATCCTCCGCCACAGTCCCTGCCTAATGTCTGTCCTCTACCCTCTGCTTGTCCCCAACTCCCACCTTCTCTATCCCTGGGATTGTGGCCTTTTCTCTACCCCATCCAGAGTGTTTAGCATCCCCCACCCTCTTCTTCTGTCTCTTCTGTCATTCAGATTTACGGAATAAATGGCCGCTTGGCAAGTGAAGGGCTTTTAAGGTGGTGAGTAAACTCCCAAATAAGAAAAGTAACCTCTTTGGAAGTGAGAATCCAGGGTAGGAACTAAAATTACAACATGGCCAGGAAAAAGTTAATTGGCGTTTATTGAAGTGAGAAACATTCCACCTGTTATTACCATCAATGTTAACAAGCTGGTCTTCAGCAGTGTAAATCCCAAGGCAGGCTTGTTAGATGCTGCGAATTTCCTTAGAACATATTCCGTGTTCCTTCGTTTCTTCTTTTGAAAGAGAGTGTCTTGTGCTGTTTTCTTTAATATGGAAAACGTTTTGCTTTGTAGCATAGCTTTGTTACTCTGTGCTATAGCAGTATGATAATAGAAGACCCAGTAACAAAAAATCCTCTCCCTTTCAACATTTAGAAGCTATCACAGAGTGCTAGGAAGGTTCGGCCTCACGTTGAAGGCCAGCTTTGGTCTGTCTGAAAAAATAAGGTTGGAGAATATCAAATTAGGAATGAGTAGTCTGTGGCAGTCATTGTTGTACATGCTGCTTAAGGTTGGTAGTTTCTGTCCTGCAGGACCTATGATTCTGTTAACATCTGCCTGCATGTGTGCACTTGAGTGAGGGTGTCAGGTCCACTGGAGCTGGGGTTACAGGCGCTGGTGAGCAATGTGAAGTGGGTGCCAGGAACCAAACTCAGATTCTGTGGAAGAGCAGCAAGTGCCTTTAATCCCTCCAGCCCCTATGAAGCACTTTTCTAAAGTAATGGTACTTAGGCCTCCCTGTGAAGTAGAAGCTAGAAGAGCAAGAGAAAGCATGTGGAGAGGAAGCAGCCCTGAAGAGCTCTGGTGTTTAAAGAGCGGAAAAAAAAAAAAAAAGCTGAATGACTGGAGAGAGGATGTGAGGGAACACTAGAGAGATGAGGCTGTGTAACACTAGCGAAGGCGTATGAAGTGAAGAAGCCCTGCGAGATTCTCTGGTGGCTTCTGAGGGGCTTTAAGCAGAGGAATGGAGTTGTCAGGTTTGCATTTGATCTGATATGCAGAATTTGGTGTAGGCCTATAATATACTGTAGCAATAGTGAGGAGAGTTGGGAAGCCAGGAAATTTGTTGAGAGGCTAATCAGTAATCCAAACAAAAAGTTATGTGAACTTAAACATAGCCTTAGCAGGACTTGAGGGGAAGTAGATATCAAGGATAGGATCTGGTGATAGAAGTTATAGGTGATGAGTGAGAAGTAGTTTAGGATGTCTTTGGCTTGGCAGGTGTGTGTGTTGAGAGAGAATGAAGGCCATGTTTGAGATACAGAAAGTTGCATAGTAGATAGAAGTCCAACACTTGGTATGGCATCCAGAGGCAGGAGTATTAATTTGGGAATTACCAGCAGAGTGTGGGTTCAGTCTATACGATTGTATATATTGTGTTGTGAACTGGCTACAGAAGCTGTAACCTTAGAGAGAGACTGAAGTTTGGGAGTCTTCTAAAGGCTCCTGGGAAGATGAAAAGGACCTGCAGAGATAGGAACATGAGGGGTGGAAATGCTTCAGGAGCTGAAGGAGAATATTTGATGCAGGTACAGGGTGGTCAGCAGTTTTGAAAATGTGGCAGAGGTCAGATAGACTAAGAAAGTGCTCAGTAATTTGGAGAAGATGAAAGTGACTGGGATTTTAGCACTGTTTCAGTGGCATAGTGGCCACAAGTATGTCTGTAGGGCTTGGAGGACTTGGAGAATGAATAGTGAAGGTTGTTTCAGGAGCTTAGTTGTGAGGGACAACTGAGATTTGGGGTGAAAAATGGGGAATGCAGAGAAAAGAAGCATGTCTCTGTCCCATTGCCACTGTCCCAGTCCAGGCCACCACCTCTCAGCTGGGCCATGGCATCCATCTGCTAACCGAGTTCCTTCCTGCTTCGACACTTGGCTTCTTCTGATTAGTTTTCAACAATAGTCTTAGTAAGCTTCAGAATATATTCTCATATCCTCCTCCTTTTAATCTACAGTGGTTTTTAAAAATTGTACCTTAACTTAAAACTGATAATTCTGGGCCAGTGAGAAGGCTCTGCAGGTAAAGGTGCTTACTTCTCAGTCTGAATACCTAGGTTTGATCCCAAGAACCCACATGATAAAAGGAGAGTACCGACTCTGTAAGCTGTACTCTGACTCCTACACATATGGAGTGGCACAGACATGTGTCAATGAGTGCACGCGTGCGTGTGTGTGGACACACACACACACACACACACACACACACACACACACTGTTTTTAAAATCTAAAATCCCTATATAGGTTATAAGACCTTTGAGGTCTACTTCCTGCTGCCTCCCTGCCCCTTGGTTTTGAGACCTGGCCACACTGTAGCCCAGGCTAACCTGGGATTTACTAGGATCCCAGGCTGTCCTCGAACCTGTTCTCTTGCCACAGCCTCTTGAGTGCTGGAGTCCAGGCTTAGCCACACTCATTTGTGCCTGAGGCCTTTGCTCTTTCTGTTGACTGTGCCTTGGATGTTCTTTGCAGATTTTTGAATGCTAGTCACATCTTTGAGTGTTAGCTTAAATGTTAACTCCTCCTGGAAGCCTTTCTGATCACCTAGTACAATCCCCTGCTCCAGCTTTTTATTCTCAAGCATAGCATCATGTTTATTTTCATCACTATCTCTATTCTGTCCTGTGTGGAGACCTCAAGACTTACTGTGACTTTTGAGGCTTTGAAATATGGCCATGCAACTGAGAAACTACAATTTTAATTTAACTTAAATGCCAAATGGGTTATGGCTGCAATATTTTTTTGGTACAGTGTTAGATACTAAGAGTCAGAACTATAGAGATTAAGGACATACAGTGTACTTGCCTATGACCATAATGACCATACAGGACATGTCTAAGGACATACAGTGAAGAGTAGGTCCAGGATAGGAGCTCAGTCCAGCCAGCCAGGAATGTAATCTAGATGAACTTGGATTCTGACTATTTACTCTTTTAAATTAAATTATTGCGTATATACATATTGACATTATTATGGCTGAAATCTATTTATTTAGAAAATAACCACTGAGCTCCCTTCAAAAACTGTATATAACTTGTGTTAAATAATGATTTAGTTTACAGGTAAGAGTTGGAAACATAGCTTGTTGTATAGATAGCTTGCTTGGCATTCTTAGAATGACCTGGGCCATGGAGCCATCTTTACAAAGTGTCTGGTTTAGCATTGAGAAAACTTTGACTTAAACTTTTGTTACAATGAAATTTGTATGGAGTAAAGGTGAAGCTAGGAGTAGGAGGTGTATCTCTGGCAAGAGTGCACGTGTGGCAAGGTCTTGGGTTCAGTTCTCAGTACCAACTGAAATGGTGATGTTAGCAGACAGTAAGACCTGACTTTCCTTTGTAAGCAGTTATTCTATTGGGAAGCAGAATTCTTGCAGGCATTTTAAATTTTCTGTTGAATATAGTATTAATTTGTTAACATAATTCATAAGGGCTATATAAAACAAAAGACCTAGTTACTTGAGAATTGTGGAGGTTTATCACTTGACTTAACGGCACTTTAATAGTACTTTTAATGTGTACACCTGTTGTAGAAAACCCCTGCTACCTGGATATCCAGAATGTACAGAGAATAACTCAATAGCTTTTTGTTATTTTGTATCATTAATTATAAAATAAGACTATGGTTTGTAGCTTTAAAAAAAACTCTGGCATGGAGAGAAGGCTAAAAGGTTAAGAACACTTACTGCTCTTCCAGATGACGCAGGTTTGATTCCCACATCCATGTGGGAACAACTACCTGTAACTCCAGTTCCAGGGGCTCTGACACCCTCCTCTGACTGTTGGGACACTGGGCACATACATAGTATACTTACATGCAAGCAAGCAAAACACATACATGTATAAAATAAAAAAATATATAATTAAATAATGAGTGTTCTGAACTAGCCAGTTGTTCTGGCTAGTTTTATGTCAACTTGATACAAGCTAGAGTCATCAAAGAGGAGGGAACCTTAATTAAGAAAATGCCTCTATAAGATCTGGCTGTATAGCATTTTGAAAAATTAGTGATTAATGGGGGAGGGCCCAGCCCGTTATGGGTGGGGCTACTCCTGGGCTGCTGATCCTGGGTTCTATAAGAAAGCAGGCCAAACAAGCCATAGGGGAGCAAGGCAGTAAGCAGCATCCCTCCATGACCTCTGCATTAGCTCCTACTTCCAGGTTCCAGCCCTGTTTGTGTTCTTGTCCTGGCTTCCTTCAGTGATAATCTATGGTGTAGAAGTGTAAGCCAAATAAACCCTTTCCTTCCCAGCTTTTGGTCATAGTGTTTCATTTCACTATGCTTTTGGTCATAGTGTTTCAATTTCAGCAATAGAAATCCTAACTAAGATAATCATTAACAGTAATTTTAGAAATCAGATGTCTATTTCAGACATACAGTCTGGTCTTACGACTTTGGAGTGCAACGGTGAGTAACTGTGAGGTATCCTTACTATGCGACACAGTGGCGTAGTTTTCAGTGAGGCTGGTTTCTAGAGTAGTTTCTGAAACTTATGTTTGAGTTGGAGGGAAAGTAAATAAGTAAATACACAAAGTATGTGAGCAAAAATAAAATAAATAATGCATGCATGCAGAAAGTATGTGTCAGAATATTTGGACATAATTTGAGTATGCAATGT